GGGTTGTTTACAGGAAGGATTAGTTTTTGCTTTGGGGTGACTAAATGCAAATTCTCACAGTACCTTTTGAAGGCATTTTCAAATTAAGTATAGTCCGGGAACATTACCCCAATCATAACTGAAGTATCTGAATACTCAGACAATTAAAAATCTCTAGCTCTAAAAATTGAATTGGATGCTGAAAAATGCTTCTTCCCAGTCCTCGCTGAGTGAAAGATGACGCCTAAATCTCGAGAACGGAAACCATTCGGAGAAATAGAGATCGAGTTTATTTTCTCGAACGTTCGGAGAAATAGTCACTTCCTTCTTTTATACTTTATTAATTTTTTCTCAAACTGTGAATAAAAATGTTAATTTACAAAAGTTAGAAGAAGAGTAGTTGATACAGTTTCAGCTAAAGAAAACTCACCTGTTGTCTCTCCAGCAGCAGAGCTAGAATCTGTTCTGATCCTGTAATCGGGAGGAATTCGGTACGGGAATTCTGTAACGAGGGACCACTGTGAAAATAGATAGAGGGCTGAGATTAGGTTAGGGTTAGGTCTCTTTAGACTCTTCTATATTGTGTTAGCTGGGGTGGTCGCTCGTTACTATGTCCTTCCCTGACCGACACTGACCGTTCCTGTTGTTGTTGTTGTTGTTGTTATCGATCCAGCAACTGCTGGGCTCTCGTCCTTCTGTCCAATGCCATGTAGTGATAAGTGCAGGTTTGCTGCAGTTGCTGTAATGTTCCATGGAGTGTGGACCGTCCCTGTAATCATGTCTATTTCTGACCTCCATGTTCCTATGAATTTTGGTTGCTTAGCTTGAGACTTGATGAAAGGCCTGTTGGGAATTTGAAATGCCTAACTTTAGACAGCTTTCAGTGTTGTACAAGATGCAAAATTCACTTAACCTAATAAATAATTGACAAGTCAAAAGACGGAAAACGCACATGACTTTTGGACAAAAGGCTGGAGGAAGGTGGTCATTGGACCCTCATTAGGAACTGGAATGTCTTGCTTTATGCGACTACACGCAAACATACACACACTCACATATATACCTCTAGGTTTTCCTCTGAATTTAGGAAATCTTGCGTTTGAACTCAGCCTACCCTCATTTCTGACCACCCACTGCCACTGACATTGAGATCTTTGAAATCATGATATTATTTTATTACAGGTAACTGAACCGACAGCATGGCAACATATGGGATGGATCGAGTTCCCGACTACTTGGGCTATCTCGTGCTCGCTGAAGATGGGGCTGTGATCAGTGTAAGTTTCTCCATATATATAGCACACCTTTGATCAGTGTAAGTCTCTCTATATAGCACACCTTTGATCAGTGTCTCTCCATATAGCACACCTTTGATCAGTGTAAGTCTCTCCATATAGCACACCTTTGATCAGTGTAAGTCTCTCCATATAGCACACCTTTGATCAGTGTAAGTCTCTCCATATAGCACACCTTTGATCAGTTGGAGGGGGGGGCATTACTCATGTACTCAGAAGCCCGCAAGCTGGGCACATCTACAGGTGGAAGTGGAGCTTTAAATGTTCAAGATGTGGCAAACTTTTCTCTGCCAGAATTGGTCTTATCGGCCGCAGCAGAAGCCACAAGTCATTTTAACCTTGAATTCTTTAAGTTCTTGTATTTCGTTGGAGAAGTATTCTCCTCCGCAAATGTATTGGTCATTGTCTGATGCTGATGGATGAAATTTTATTATTATTATTGTTACTCATGTACCATTAATCAATCACAATCGACCAACGCTATAATTTGGAATACATTTAGTACATATATATATATACTAACTGGTTGTATGTAACTAGCTGGATAAACAAACCTACAAACCTTAAAAGAGGAAAACATTTTTTCCATTGATTATTTACTTTCTCCCTTCCTCATACAGTCAGGCGGAGAATTGGAGAATGATGAGTCAACAGCGAACAAATTGAACAAACTGATCCACACAGCGTGCAGGATCCCCATCACCCCCGACAAGAAAGACGTGCTACGCAGAATGTCGAGTAAGTTTACCGAGTCGATAGAGAGTGCCACCGGTAGAACGTTTTCTTTTTCCTTTTTCAGTTTCTGTCTTCTATCTGTCTATCTGTCAGTCTATCTTGTCTATTCCCTGCCATGAAAATAGCTATTATCATTGAGTCTAGCGCTTCTATTCAAGCTCAAGTTTAGCAAAGTTCAAGCATTCGATATTTTTTTCATCTAATAAAGCGTCCTTGGATCACTATGTAGGTTATAATCAAAATCTCAAATAAATTTAACATATAATTTGCTTCTCATGAAAGACCCTTTTAATTCTATTAATAGTTTTTTATAAAGAAAATGTGAGGCAGCGTGGTGAAATCAAGTGCTCATCAAAATAATGAAATCGGAGAAAGAAGCATTTTTACGCCAGTTTGGAAACTTTTATAGAATTTTTATTTTTTGGCTTAACCTCTTTTATGTCCATATAAAAACACATTTGCGTGTGAAATTTACCAAAAACATTGATTAAAGGCACAAAATATGTCATTTTTTTCAGTTTTCTAAGACTCTTTGGCTATTGTAGTTAGCAAACTTTGGCGGCCATTTTCTCACTAATTTCGCCACTGAAACCAGACAGCCTTACTTTCTTTATTCGTCAATGTCTTGAGTTCTATTGAAGATAAATGGATATTTATTTAACTAAAAGCAAGGGAAATAAATCAACTTTCTGATGATACCAGTAACTCCGCATGCCCAAAAATTGACAAGCGTCTGATTCCACTGTGTTGTAACTCAAATAGATGAAATATCCCTGCCTCCTGCTGGACTGGCTTGATGTGTGTTAGCCATTTTCCGTTGATTAAGTTGATGATGAGGTAAAATAAAGTCAGTGGATGTGAGTGTCAGAAGTAAGGGAGCCGATGATCGGATTTTGGTTGAATGTGTCCGGTGAGCAGCAACTTTTCGCACCAAGTTTTTGTGAGTTAATAAATATGTGGATTGCTCAGTGTAAGAGTCCATCATACCTCACTTTTCACAATGGTGTGTGGTGGAGTCTTACACTAAGCTGTCAATTTGAGCAAAACTGTGTACACTTATCTCTTTAGTGGGTGGTTGGCGGGTGCTCTGGTGTGGTTTGCACCTTCTTTCTTATCAAACAACTATCGTCTTTATTTCTCCTTCTTTTTTATGTTTGTTACTCTCTTGTAACACCTCTAATCTTTGGCACTTATATGACCTTATTGTGTTGCAAGTGCCATAAAACTCTTACTAAAAATATTTTTACAAATTTATACTGTCATAATGCATTTTTATGGGGTGTTTGGTTAGTCTGAAAGATTCTCTTGAGCCTTTTCTTCCAATAAACCGTTGGTTTAAAGGGAGACAAGACAGTGTGGTTTTGCTCTCCAACTCTAAAGTTTCCCAAATTATGGCCCTTTGTCTGGTCAGGTTTCAAACTACAGCGGAGTTTGCTTTATTTAAACTGAACACAGTGAACAGAAAACAGTTAACCGAAAGAAATGAAACCAGTGAATTTTTTCATATATTTGAGCAACCTCTCTAAATGAAAAAAATCCCGGCTGAACCGAACAAAACCTGGCGGTCCGTCAGATTTCGGTTTAGTACCTACGGAACCGGCCGGCCTTATTCTCAACTTTCAGTTCCCCAAGACCAGAGCTGCTGCCCACTGTCTGACTATAAGAGATATGGTTTACTCTATATAGGAATAAAAAACTTATTGTGTCCTGAGCTTCTATTGCTCAAGTGCAAGTTCAGCAAAGTGCAGTCATCTGATTTTCTGGTGTCCTTGTATCACTATGTATGTTATAATCACAATCTGGAATAAGTTTTACATTCTTCCCCTTATAGAAGGGCTAACAACTAATTTTAGTTCTAGTTTTAGCAAAATTTTACGGCGCTCGCAACTGCATATGGTCATATGAACGCCGAGAGTGGATGTCAACAGAGGAGTCCAAATGGGGAATCAGGGATACTCTGCTCACCTCTCTAGCCTCAACAGCACAAGTCTGCTTCGACTGTCAAGGCACCCCGGAAATAACAGTTCACAAGAGAGTAACAAACATACAAAAGAAGTAGAGGAAAAATGACGATAGTAGAATGAGGAAAGAAAAAGCAGCGTGTTGTTCCGGCACAGTATGAGCATGACATTGATAAATCAGCCCACTTACAATTTTACTATGCATAAGAACATGTTAATATCCCCCCTTTGGGGATGGCCTCAAGACAACTTCAGTCAGTAACACTGCCCCAGGGGGGGGGGGGGGGGGGGGGGGGAGCAACTAATTTAAATGTACTTTTCCAGTAACTTTAACTGTATTTAAGTTTTCTCTCTAACGATTGTCCCCAGTTGTGGTGGATGACGTCATCTTCATGGTCACTGTATCCCAACACAAGATCTTTGTGTCCAAGCGACAGTACAACCCACAGGAGCCCGTGTCTACGTGAGAGGTCAAGGACACTCGTTTTATATAATGTGACGTGTGTGTATATATATATATGTGTGTATGTGTGTCCAAGCGACAGTACAACCCACAGGAGCCCGTGTCTATGCCAGAGGTCAAGGACACTTGTTTTATAATGTGATGTGTGTGTGTATATATATGTGTGTATGTGTGTGTGTGTGTGTCCAAGCGACAGTACGACCCACAGGAGCCAGTCTCCACGCCAGAGGTCAAGGACACTCGTTTTATGATGACTGTGTGTGTGTGTGTGTGTTTATAGATGGTGTGGTTGTGTGTGTGAGTGAGTCCTATATATATATATGTATGTGTCTGGGCTTACGTTTCAGCTTGTTTGACTCAAAGATGAAAGTATTTGCCGTATACTTGGGCACGCCAAAGAGAATTGGGTGTGAGGGAGTATGTGTGGAAGATGGCAGGTATAAAATGAAGTGTGTGTAGACAGGTCTGGGTTTTTTTATTTGAGTGTGAGTGCTCTTGATTGCCGGTATGATCTTACACCACGTACTCCTTTTTGAAACCCGTGCGAAAAGTTTCCAGTGATATTTTTGTGTCTTGGTCAATCTTTTACCCCTTCCTTCAGGTGTGTCTTAATTAAAATGTGTGAGTATGTGTATTTGTTGATGGGTGCATGGCAATGAACTGATGCTATTTGGTGCCTGAAAGAGATAATTAAAAAAGCATTTGCAATTGTCACTAATTGTGCAATTGTATGTTATATGGAGAATGTGGAAATGTGATTGGGTCTGTGAGTTTGCTTTATTTATGTAGCTGCTCATAAATATTCGCAGTTTATAAACATTTTGGAAAGGGGGGGGGGGTGTAATTCTGTGATGTTTATAAAGTGTAGTCTTGGGGAAAGGAGTACTGTTTCAGCATGTATTTTTCGTTTCATGCCAATTTGGTTGTTTTTAAATCCCTCCCTTTTTAAAAGTTTTGTTGGAAATTCTTCTGATATGAAATAGAAGTCTTATTTGTGAACGGCAAATGTTTTGACCTCTTGTAAGAACTAAGTCTACTCTCTACTTTTTTTTATACCATTCTTTTTTTCTGATATTTTCATCTTTTAGTTTTAAAAGTTTCTAAGTCAGACAGCCATTTCTGTTTGTCTTGTCACTGTTTTAAATGCTGTTTAATCCTTTGTTTCAGCTATCGATAACCTGAAGTCACGTCTAGTCTTATGAGTACAATGAAAGCAAAGTAATAAATAGATAATTTAAATGTTAATTCTACTTGTACATTCTCTTGCCTCTTGTTTGTTATTTGTTTTAGGTGCTGAAATTTCAGGATTCATTTTTTCCTTTTTCTCTGGGTTTAACGGTAATTTGATTTTGTGAAAGGTATGTTCAGGTGTTTGTGTTGAAATACTGTTTGACGTTGACATTATGATGTTTAATGAAGTTCTCGTTACGTAATAAACAAACACGTTTCATATCTCACTTATACAAACTTGGGTTGTTTATTTTTGGGGGGGTTTTATCAGGGGGAAAATTCATGTGGAATGTCCTTTGTTCAATTGTTGTACTTCTCCCTCATTTATATGCCCCTTTCAACACAGTATAGGTTATTGAAAAGATGGTACAACCACAACTAGAATGTATTTTTCTCTGATGATTCTGCAGGTGGTTGGAGGGCACCTCTGGTAGGTCCTCTTCCTCCTTCTTTACTTTCCCTCTTTTGCTTCTGTCTGTCTGTCAGTCTTACTTTTTTCACCAGCACTTAATGAACATTATTGTATTGATCTGTTTCTCTTTGTGCAAACAAACAAACAATTGTATTGATCTGTTTCTCTTTGCTCAAACAAACAAACAATTGTATTGATCTGTTTCTCTTTGCTCAAACAAACAAACAATTTTTTATTATTGTTTTGATTCAGTTTTTTATCCTTTGCGAGTTGGCTGTTTAGATCCCAGCTATTAGTTTCAAGTCATTCATATGCTTCTTTTCTTTCCTTCTTTTGTTTCTGTCTTGTTTTTCCTGGCTTTGACTGTGTCGGGTTGACATGCTTTTGTTTGCTCTAAGTAAATTTTAACTGAGTTCAGTTGACGTCTTCTTGAGAAAAAAATAATGAGGGAAGAAAAGGTAAAAACAATCAAACGGTGGATTCAAAGATTCAAAGCTGTCTTGCTGGAGGAATCCAGGCTAAGCCAGGTTTTCCACTCTATTGTGGAGTTTCTATATTTCTATATTTTAAAAAAGTTTCTATATTTCTATATTTTTAAAAAGTTTCTATATTTCTGTATTTTAAAAAGGTATGAGCTTTTTCTGCGAAATATTTTAGTCTCCATTAATTGACACAATCATTTAATGTAAATTTGTAGGAAATCTGCTGTGACCCCACCTGTTGACGGGTGGTTGGAGTACAGCGCCACATGTTGACGGGTGGTTGGAAAAGAGCGCCACATGTAGACGGGTGGTTGGAGAAGAGCGCCACATGCAGGTCCTATGTACTTCTTTTCTTTCCTTCTGTTGATTCTGTCTGTCTGTCTGTCTGTCTTGCTTCTTCCCTGCACTACATGTATACATGACCCGTTATTGTGTGATGTGCTTCTCTTTCCTCAAACTCTCA